TTTGTCTATCTTGGCATATAACTCCATCAATAATTGCCAAGATAGACAAATCATATAGTAATAAATGTTGGAAATGCCATGAGACAGAAGGAATAGTTTACCATTTTGTGGTGAGCATGTACAAAACCTCAAAAGTACTGGAAAGAAATACACAGCACTATTCAGAGAATTTTAGAAATCAAACTTGAAATGAAACCACTTTTTTTTTTTAACTAGGATAATTCCAAGACACATCAACCAAAAAAAATTCTCAGTTTACTGAGATACACGTTCACAGCTGCAAGGATAAACTTAGCACAACACTGGAAAAGAGATATATTACCAATGATATTAGGCTGGGAACTTAAACTCAGAGAACATGCAGTAATGGCAAAATTAACAGCATATATACAGAACTGAAGTTTGACCAAATTTAAATAGGAATGGCTTCCATATGTATTACATATTACCCAGCACAGCAAATTTAAGCATTTAGAGTATGGTTTATAAGGGGAAAAAGAATTGATCAAAGCACTGAAATCAGAAATACATGAAATTAATGTCTGAAAGAATTATATATCCTGACACTTTTGAGAAGAAAAAACTGTCATCTAAAAAGTAGTATAACACCCGTATCTTAATAGTAGTAATTCCTGTCTGATGTTATTAGAACTGAGATTAAATTATCAGGATTCTAGGCAGAAGTGATTCTCAAATACCCTCTTTCATTTTACATGGCTAAAGGCTTCTGAAAGCTAAAGTACTTTCAAAGTAGCTTTTGATAATGACTTCAGGATTTGGAATTTAAAGTCAAAGTCTACACCATCTATAGATCTTAGCCACTGTTACTGCAAGGACTGGCCATAATTCCTGTATCAGTTTTACTGACTTTATTACTTATAACCAAAGGCCATCACAAATCTTCATTGTTGAAAGTACAGGAATAAGGAAGATTCTAATATGAAATTATGCCATTTTAATTATGCATTTGTTTTTTCCATAGGCGCTGGTGATTGCGGATGAAGTAGATTTGGAAGTTCCTGAGTATTTAGCAACTGATGCTTCTGTCCTTATTTACATGAGACCTGATCCTGAGTGCGTTACCTGTTTTAGAGCATTGTTACCACTGCACTGCCGATATTACCGGCCCTCAGAAAGTAATGGAAAAATCTCTGTTGTCTTGCAGAGTCCAGAAATAATGACCCATTGCCAAAAATGTATGTGATATCTATTACTGAAAGGGAACAAATGGAATTAAAAGGGGGCAGTATTGACTCGTAAAAACTTGGGGGAAACTATTACATATTAAAGGTGGTGTTAGAGAGATACCTTCATAGAGTAAAGTACTGCTTACAATCTAAGAATAATCTGTTCTCTGAATGCTGCATTTAAACTATGTTTTGTTTTTGCTTCTTAGCCTTTTTTTCAGTGAACTGTTTGAAAGAAACTGAAATAGAAGCTCCGTGTTCCCAGAATAATCTAGACGTATGCTATTGGAACAGTATGAAATATAAAATTGTACGTTCATTTCTTCTATTCTTCTGTTTTTCTTCAGATATATCCATCTATAACTATTTTGAAATTTTTATTTTATCTAGTGACATTCCATACAGTTCTAGCAGATGAAAAAAGTGACTTATAAACCTAAACTTTGCTAAAATGGTTAAATTTCATTGACCCCAGTAGGATTTTATTGTTTTATGTGGAGTCCTTGGTGCTCTCTGAGCTTGGTTGTTTGCTTGCAGATGTTTCATTACCCAACTAGGTAATATCATCAATGCTAGTTGTTTACTATCTTAAGTATTAAGCTTATTGTCTGAAGTATTAAACATAAGTTTGAGTTCAAAATGAAAAGATTAACATTCCATTCAATCACACTTCCAAATTATCATTCTACTGCCGTGGAGCAGAATGCTTAAGGCTGCAACCATTCATATTTAGAAATAAAACTCACTGAACCCAGTGGCAACTGTATTTGAATAGTTTTATACAGATTTATGCCATAAAAGAGATTGTTGCAAGGAACTCTTGAAAATGGAAGGTGTGAAAGGACTGCTAGATTAAAATACTTCAGTTAAATATATATGGGTATTCAGGTAAATGTCATAATAAATGCAATAAAAACATGTGTTACATGTTTTGAACAAAAGTCATCTTACTGATCTTTTAATTTGCAATTCTTTTTCTGTAGGTAAGTAAAGAATTGGAACTGCAGGTACCAGTTGGACTCAAACATCACCTTTCCTTGGTGTGTGCAGTAACACTTATTACCACAGGACTCTGTTCCAGTTTTATCCTTTCAGCTTTATGCAAATATGGACACTTCATTCATTACTGAATGTGAAATTAAATAAACTTTTATTATTGAAATCATGGAAAAGCTGTCAAACTGTCCAGACAACCTAGAGATAAGAACAGAAGAGCAAGCTTGATTGTGTACCAAAAGCTGGTGTTGACTCATAGTGACCACATAGCTAGACCTTTTTCAAGATGAGCTGTTCCCAACCTGGCCTTTTGGGTCTCCCAACAGCGTACTCATCTCTGTTGTAATCAAGTCCATTCATCTTTCTGCTGATCATCGTCTTCTCCTCTTTCCTTCCACCTTTCCCAACTTTATGAACTCCTCAAGGAAGTTGGGATTTCAGATAATGTGACCAAAATATAATTTGAGCCTGGTTATTTGGTTCTTGAGTGAGAACTCTGGGTTGATTTGTTCTATGATCTATTCATTTGTTTTCTTGGCTATCCTTGATATTGTCAAGAATCTTTTCTAATACCAATGTTCAAAAGTCTTTTTATCTTCTTCAAAGTCCAACTTCTGCTTGCATAGTTCTGACATTTGTGAGTACAGATGCATCATAGCATCTAAATATCTGAATACTGAGAAAATGCTGGATGTAAACCATTAGCTGTGAAAATGCAAGGAAACAGAAAATTGCTTTATTGATGGAAAAATTCAGCAGTTTCAAATGTTCTTAATTTTTCTGTTCATATCACTAGAGATACTGCTAGCATGTGCTATCTGTCATAATTATAGAAAATATTGAATATTTATACATTTCTATCTGGAAGAATAAATGTCTTCAAATATTCTTACAAATCCTACTTTAGTTTTCAATCTAAATTCATGTACTTTGATTGCTTTTCACCTGTACTAGAATTATTGTCTAAAATGGTCCACTGTCTCTTTGACTCCCCTCTAAAACATTATAAAAAAACGCTTGTCACATGGTATATTTCACCACTGGATAACAAATTGCTTTAACATTGGTTCTTTTGTTCTCTCTACAAAGTGCTATGTGATAACTGAGGCATTGCTACAGCTACTACTTCAAGCTCCATTTGAGCAGTGTTCTGCATCTGTTTGGGGGGGGAAGGAGCTTTTAAAGAAACCAATCACAGAGGAGTTTTTTTGTCACTAAATTGGCCACATATGAGCAATTGAGGCATATAATGAAACATCAGCTGTAAATCTGTTTATATTATCCATGGATCTTTTAGTATGATGTCAATTTTAGGATTTTATTGGCTGAAATTTACTGGAAATAAATGTAACATCCTGCACTATTGGCAGATGAATTTTTCTCTAATTGTAAGTATACAATTACAAAGTACATTTTGGGGAAATTTTGGGAACATCCAATAATGCCAGATAGCAAACTTCATTGCAGTTCTTTATATTGTGGTTTTATTTTGATGCAAGTAGTAGTTAAAGAAATTGAAAATGATAATATCTTTGGTTTTGTGGAACATTGTCTTAATGTTTATAGTTAGCTTTGTTTTTGTGTGATGGTGATTTTATGGATTCTTTTCATAAAGAAAAGTTATTCTGTAGAGGAGATGAGAGACTGGAGCCCAAGTTAAATAAGAGGTTCATAGGGTGATTTTTGCTGGCACTGATAGTTTTTGTAAAACTAGATAAGCATTTAGCTGTTCTCTTTTATTTATTACAGAGCTCCTTTTTAAATTTTCTATACTATCATAGTAAAAATGCTATAATAAAAGAAGTGAGTGGAAAGTGATGTGAAATGTTTAATCTATTTGCTTATTGTGGCAGGAACTGCATCTTTTTGACATCAACCGTATCTTTAAAAGTGAACATACAATTCAGAATGTGAGATAGAGCCAACTGGGGCTCAGAATTCATATAAGATACTTTATATTACAAGATGGATGTGCTTTTTAAAGGAATATCAGTTCTCAGGAGCCTGTGCTTTTCAATCAAAATGACAAGCATAGTTTTTGTAATGAGCTGCAATTTTATAAATACTGAGATGAATTTATTTTTCTATTTTAAGCTTCCATAAAATAAAGGGGATCAGGAAACAAGACTAAGTAAACAAATGATGCTGGAGAGACAAGTGATCAAGTATATCAAGATTTAAGTTTTATCCTTAAAAAGTATTTCCTTTCACTTGCCTCATTTGCAGCAGTAGGTATTGCCTAGAACTAGAAATGTTGAGTGAGTAAGCAAACGATTTTTCTTTCTAGCTGAGCATGCAAGATAGTTTGTGACATGGGAAATACCTTGTCCCTCCCACAAATAATTCTGTACAAAATCTAGGCTGTGTTCATATAAGCAGACAGGCACTGTACCATTATATCAGTGTCTTAAGTTCTGTTTTAAGTGTGCTTAATTTTTAGAGTGGGCAGGCACAATAATTAGAGAGGCAAGCGCACAACCTAAGTTTCACAGAAGATGATTCATTCTCAGTTTTCTTATGTCCTTGGGAATCAGCAAGTCTGATGATAAAGACTAATGAACCATACTTAAAAGGAAAACATTTAAGGCCTTTTTTTCCTTACATTTGTTTTATATTGGCACAAGAACTGCTCATTATTAATCACTACAAACACACATACTTTTAATAAAACCACATAGTTTTAAAGGAACTGACTAAATCCATTTGACCCAAAATAAAAGTTTTGGTTGTGGTGATTAGGAATGAATGACTAAATTAGCACTAAGCAAGCTATCTCCACAACTTACCATGTCACTTCAGTATTCTCTACTGAAGTTTACTGTAGAAGAGAATGACAGCATGCACATTTCTACATCCCTTAAGATACATTCCACCCAGAGGTATGGGGGATAACAAAGACAGTGGTTGCACTTATAGCCGCAGATCTAGCATTTTACAATATTGGGCCCTTAAAAAGGTATGGTTAGGTATCATAATGGGATTTTGCTGTCCTCTGCTCAAAATATTTATCTACTTTTAGCTGCAGTTAAGGAGGGGAAAAGTAAGCAGAAAGCGCCAGACCAGGAACATCAAGACTAGATTGCTGCTTCAGTTATAAGTGATGTTACTATTTTGTAAACCTAGAATTCTTCCATGTAAGGTAAGAGGAAATGACATGATGGAGGTGCTACTTGGTTGTTTCAAAAGCAGGAAGAGGCAGAAGGACCCTTACAACCATTAGCAGTGCTGAATCTCTTCTCTGTTTCATGACAATCAAACTTTTGGATTATCTACTGGGGATGGACACAAGACACTTTTATCTGATGGTCAATCCAAGAAAAGTTAACATGGGAGATGAGATTTTAGACAACCAATTTGTTCACTAAACACTATTTCTTTTGTCATCATTTTGGCTAGGTCTGCTAATTATTTGATCTCTTTTTAACTGATAGATCACTTTTTCAGGTTTTTATCTGTGCTTTGTTATTCATTCAGTTTGCATACTCATTAATGGTGATAAGATAGTATATAGATATTTAGAAATTAATATACTGATATTGAGTATATTCATTTTGAATCAAGGTTTTCTTACTACAGAAAACTTGTGACTGTTTGTTGTACATATGACAACCACACTGCCAAACTTGGTGCTTACTACTCTAATCACATGTGGGGTAAACCAGCATATGGCCAACTATATAGAACAAAACAAGGAATTTACTAAGAATTGGGTGATTCAGTCAGAAGCCTTCTAGAATAATTCCAACAAGGGGGTAGAGAACAAGAGGAAGAAAACCATAATTTAGATAGCTGAGAAAAACAGCTGTGCTTTTAACTGTATCTGCATTTGAGATGATGCTACATTTAAATAGCAATGCTACTATAAGTTTTCAAAGAAAAGTAAATTGCCATTTATTTATTTTATTTATTAAATTTGTATGCTGCCCATCTCCCCCAGTGGGTGACTCTGGGCAGCTCACAATTAAAACAAAATCCACAAACAATTAAAAATAAATACATTAATTAATTAAATTAAAAAGACAAGCTATAAAAACAAACCCTATACATAAAGACTAAAAACATTCAAGATGATGGGGGGGGGGAAATCAATTACCCCACAAGCCACTTCCACTGATGCAAACCCCCATCTGGCATAGTCAGGATTTCACGCTCTTCCTGAAGGCCATGAGAGTGGGGGGACACTGCACCTTGGGTGGTAGGTTGTTCCACAGAGCAGGGGCCATGGCAGAAAAGGCCCTCTTCCTAGATCCCACCAGTTGAAACTCCTTGACTTGTGTGGTCTGCAACATGCCCCTTCTGCTGGACCAAGTGGGGAGGGCTGATATAATGGGTGAGATGGCTCCTCAGATAACCTGGGCCTATGCCGTGAAGGGCTTTAAAGGTGATAACTAACACCTTGAATTGGACCCAGAAGCAAACCGGCAACCAATGCAGCTCGGATAACAGCGGTGTTATATGGCTCCCCTGGGGGCATTCAGAACTGTCCATGCTGCCAGATTCTGCGCCAGCTGTAGCTTCTGGATACTCTTCAAGGATAGCCCTATGTAGAACGCATTGCAGTAATCCAACCGGGAGGTGACCAGGGCATGAGTGACCGTGCAGAGGGCCCCCTGATCAAGGAAGGGGTGTAACTGATGCACAACACGAAGTTGTACAAAGGCCCTGCTAGCCACAACTGCCACCTGCTCTTTGAACAGAAGTCATGAGTCCAGGAGGACCCTCAGATTATGCACCGGGTCTGTCTGGGGTAGCGTGACCCCATCAAGAACCAAAGATGATAAACTCCTAGATTTTGAGGCTCCCCGTACCCATAGCTGCTCCATCTTACCAGGGTTCAGTTGAAACCTGTTGTCCCCCATCCAGGCCCCTACAGCTTCCAGGCACTGTGAAAGGGTACCCACAGCATCACTTAGGTCACCTGAAATGGAGATATATAATTGAATATCATCAGCATACTGATGATACCTCATCCCATGGTGCCAGATGATCTCACCCAACGATTTCATGTAGATGTTAAATAGGAGTGGTGAGAACACTGAACCCTGAGCCACCCCACAAAGTAGGGGCCGTGGATTGGACCTCTTGCTCCCTATCAACACTGATTGGGTTTGGCCTTGGAGAAAGGAGCTGAACGAACACAGAACTGCGCCACCCAGCCCCAACTTCTGCAGCTGACCCAAAAGGATACCATGGTTGATGGTATCGAAAGCCTCTGAGAGGTCAAGAAAAGCAAGGATGGATGTACTACCCTCATCCTGTCTCACCAGAGATCATCCAAAAGTGTGACCAATGCTGTTTATGTCCCATAACCAGGCCTGAAACCTGACTGATGGGGTCCAGATAATCGGTTTCCTCCAGGATCCTCTGAAGCTGCCACGTGACTACCTTTTCCACCACCTTTCCTAGAAAGGGAAGGTGGGAAACTGGATGAAAATTGTCCAGAAGGGTGGAATCTAGCAATGCTTTCTTGAGGAGGGGGTGGACCAAAGCCTCCTTAAAGGGCTTTGGGAACACCCCCTCCTGCAAGGATGAATTGATCACTGTGAGTACCCACCCTAAAGTCACCTCCTTGGTGGCTTTAATCAACCAGGAGGGACAAGGATCTAAAATACAGGTAGCTGTGCTACCAGCCCCGAGGATCCTGCCCACTTCCTCAGGGGCAACAGGATCAAACCGTTCCCAGATAACTGGGTAAGTGCGCTCCTCAGGCATCTCCACTGGACCCGCCTCACATTAGGCCTCCAAGATAGTCCTCCAAGCCCTCCCTACCCAAGAGAGACCGAGTGACCCTGAACAGGACTGCCGGGCAACGCTCTGAGGATGCGATAAGAGCGGAGAAATGTTTCACTGCCCTTACTGCCACTACGTAGGCCTTAATAGTGGCTCTAACCTGCAATTGGTCGGACTTGTCTTTAGTTTCTGCCAGCAGTGCTCAAGACGTCTCTTGGCCCTTTTCAGCTCTCTTAACTCCTCTGTAAACCATGGGGAGTGCCGGGGGTGATGGGCCAAGAGAGGTCGCACAGGCGTGATCCTGTCCAAAGCCCCAACCGCCTCCATATTCCAGACTGCAGCCAAGGCCTCCGCTGGACCGTGCAGCAAGGCCTCAGGAACAACCCCCAGTTCCCTTTGGAAGCCTTGTGGGTCCATCAGTTGCCGGGGGCGGACCGTTCAAATAGGTCCCACCTCCCTGGGGGGGCAGCATAGGAAAATCTCAAGGCCAGCAGGGAGTGGTCTGACCATGACGGAGCAATATCAAAACCCCCACCAGATCACGCTGCCACTGCTCTGACAAGAAAACCATGTCTGGGGTGTGACCACTGTCCTGAGTTGGCCCATAGATTACCTGGGATAGGCCCGTGGCTGCCATGGTAGCCATGAACTCCTGAGCCGCCTCCAAGGCCAACCCCAGGGTCGGCACATTAAAGTCCCCCAAGACCATAAGCCTGGGGAACTCCACTGCCAATTCTGAGATGGCCTTCAGTAGCTGAGGCAAGGAGGTTGCTACACAGCAGGCAGGCTGGTACAGAAGCAACACTCCCAATTGATCCCATGCGCCCAACCTCAGGAACAGGGTCTCACATCCAGTCACTTGGGGAGTAGAGCCCCTGAAGGCCAGCAGAGATTCCTGGATGACGACTGCCGCACCCCCTCCCCTGCCCTGGGGTCTCAGCTGGTGCCAAACCCTAAACCCGGCTGGACACAATTCCAAAAGGGCAACACCCCCTTCTGGTGTCAGCCAGGTCTCGGTAATGCATGCCAGGTCGGCCTGCTCCTCCCCAATAAGATCGTGAATAATTTCCAAATAATTTTACTAAGTAATTATATTTTGGATAATAATTACTTCAAGACCCAGACTGCCTTTTAGATTATCTGTTAGTGTTGTGTTATGTAAAACGATTTTTTTTAATCTCTGTATTTATACATTTTTAATTTCTGCATTTATTTACACTTCTTATAACTTGGGCGTGCTCTGGAAGAATAAGCATTATAGAAATAGAAATAAATACATACTACTAAAAGCTGTTGCAAATACATACAAAACACTCTTCTTGAGCAATACTTAAATAAATGAGCACTGAAATATTTTTATAATCCATAATAAAACTCCTAAATTCAAAACGACAGGAAACAGATAAAAGTCAATTAGAAATTGAAAGTGCTACATACATTCAAGCTACATTCATTTGCCTTCTTGATCACATAATCCCATTATCTCCTCGATGTCCCCAGTATATTTGTTCGGCCTACCCAATTTTTTTCCTTCACGCCAATACAGTTTTACAGAAACCTTGTGGGAAATGCAGTACGCCGCTGCCCATCAATGCATAGTAGAACTACTAAGTCTCAATACTTCTCCGCTACATCGCGTCTGCCCGCCCGCTCGCTCGCCTCCTCGCCTCCTCTCTTCCTTCCTTCCTTCTTCTAGCGCGCCGCGCTCTGCGCCTGAAGCCGCCTGCCCGGCTCCGCCTCTTCCTTTCCCGGGCTGTGGCCACGCGCAGCGATTCCGCTTATTCCCCTGGCCGCCCGGTGGGCCCTCCCCGCCATTATAGGAGGCCGCGCCCTGCCCCAAGCGGTCAGGCCGGTAGCGAGAAGCTTGGCCCCCGTCCGGTGAGTGTGGGCGGCGTGGAGGCTGCGGGTGCTTCCCAGAGGAGCGGAGACCTGGCTGGCGCGTAGGAAGGGCAGGAGGATTGCAGCTTCCTCTTCGGGTAGAGAAAAAAATTTCTAAGCAGTAAGTACTCAGGCCCGGAGGTTGGGCTTCATAGAGTCTCTCCATACGCGCCCGGGAGGAAGTGGGGTTGTGGGCCCGCTGAATGGGGAGGAGAGTGTCGTTGCTCTTCCCTTGAGCGCGGGCAGGTGGGTGAGAAAGCGGGGGTCTGCAGGAGCTCCGCAGCTGGTAGACTAGCGCGCTCGCCTTGCGACTCTCCCCCTTATCAAAGCTGAAAGGCGCAGGTTGGCGTAGTCTTCCTGCTTCTTGCGCATTTTACAATGGACTCTGTAGGCGAATAGTTCCTACTTATAAGGAGTGGTTCATAAATCTGAGTTTCTCTTCTCATTCTTTAATCACTGGAAGCAAGCAGAAAATCTCTGTTGCCTCACGAGAGAGATAACGCCTCTCGAAAGGGCTTGAGGCCAAGATGGTCCTTAGCGAGGCCGGCTGGGCCGGATAAGTTCTTTCTTCCTCGTCCCCGGAAGCAGGTGGCGCAGAGTAGTTGCAGCTCGCGGGCAAATGAGCGATAGTTGGACTGTAAAGAGCAGCTACCGCCGCTTCGTGTCGCTTACCTGCCCTTTTAGACTGGGGGGATAGGCCTGCCTCTATGTAGAGGGCGATTGCAGCAGGTAAGTGAATAAACTGGTGGCAAGTTCCTGTTTCTTCTTGCTCTGCTCTTTGTTGTTGACAGAATTTGGAGCCAGTCAAATTTTTGAGAAAGAGTTGTAGTTGGGGTATCAGGAAGAATATTCCTTTCAATATCAGTTCCTAGGGAACAATTGCAAGAAAGGGCTGTTGCATTCTTGTTCCTCTCATGATTTTCCCATAGAGGATCTTCTTTAAAACATAACATAGAATTAGGCAGGCCTTTAATTTGATCCAGTTGAGTGGCTCTAAGTTCCTAAGAATTGGAAGGCAGTGGCTGCTCAATCTTTTTGTTTCCACAGCTGATTTTTGAGTCATAGAATATTTCTGAACATATTTAAAATGTGAGTGTCATAGTTGTAACTTTTTTTCAGGTGATTAAATTGGGAATGGTGTTTTTAGATCCTGGTCACCCTAGAGGGTGTGTTGGAATGAGAAAACTATATCCTTTCTCCTTTTTGGTTAGCTGACAGGAGATCAAGATGTTGAAATAAATTTGAGAAGATGTCATTACTTGTTTCAAGAGAGGAGTGAATATTTGTATGTGCAGTTCCATCCTGACATCACAAAATATTTATTTCAGGTATAGTTGATAATATTTTAATTTAACTGTGATTTAACTTGGGTATTTGTTTAAATTTTGGAGCAGTTCTCTTAAAAATTAAAGTATGAACAGTTTACAGAAAATGTGTTTATAGTTGTATACAACTAAAGTTAAAAATACAAAACATGATAGAAGTCTTCTGCCCTTTGTAAGATAGCTTACTAATGTAGAGAATTTTCTTGCATATCAGTAGAACATTTAGACTGTGAGATGATAGACCAGAACTCAGTCTCTCCTAGCCTGCATGATAACAATAACCTGTTTTACTACTGCAGCTTTCTGACCTGAAAGTTCCTGCAGCAAATGCTGTAGAAGTGGATTGCTACATTGGGTTGGACTAGGTGGTCTCCCATGTCTCTTCTAGTTGTTACATTCTGTGATTCCTGAATGTTACCTGATTTGAATGTAGATCTGTAAGCTGTTTTGTCCAAGTAACTCCTTATACATTACGCAGGACCACTATTGTTTAAATCATAATTGGCTAGGCTCACATAACATGCATTCTACTGCATGAATAAGTATAAGAAGTATAGTAGTTAAGTAATTGTCTTTTTAATGTCTTGTATTCATTGGATTTATGCAGTATATTAAACCATAATGTGGTTTATTTGGTTTTGACTAAGCATGTAATTTGAAGCCAGCCATTATGGATTATTCAGTAAGCCATAATTAGACAAGCTGTGGTTTAGCATGATGTATGAACTGGACCAGTGTGTATGTATGAATGCATATTAGAGAGGATGGATGTAAGAAAGGACTAAATGGCAGAATCCTAGAGTGCTGAAGCAGAACTGAAAGACAGTTTGCATGGCTACTATTTTAAAAATGGTTCAACTTTGTTTGCTATGAAACTGCTTATACTTTTCATAGCTACGTCTGTTACATGATGCCATCATTGTTACATGATGTCTCTGAGTAAATCTGTAAGGACAAAAAGATCCTTTAGATTCTGTGCATCTAGTCAGCATGAACATCTATGTGAATGTAAATGTATGCGGATTAGAAAAAACAAATGAGTTTCATTTCTGACTGCATTACTTTTGTTTTCTTGTACCTGAATATTTGTAGAGGTATAACTGAAAACCACAGTTGTATATTTGCATGGTTAGCCAGTATAGTAAGAATTTAGTTAATAAAAGAATCCTGACCACAAATAAATTTGTGAACACTTTTATTTTGTATAAAATTCCAATGTATAATTGACTGCATCTTGTTCCATTGTAATATATTACTTGGCTCTAAACAGGGTATTCATTTTTATTTTATTCAATTTTAAATTTTATGTACAGCTAAAAAGATAAGCAAGCATTGGTGTGAAATTCTAAATAACTTTTATAGGATTACTTATTGTGGCTTTGTTCATTTTTGTACTGCTTCTGTATTTATATCTTAATGTTATACCTACAATACTATATATGCATTTTATAGCTTGTGGATCTCAGGAAAAAATATAGTTTGGTTTTCAAACATTGATATGTTGTTCAAACATTGAGAATAGCTGTATCTTTGCTAATAACTTACCTCCTTGCATCATCTCTCTTTAGAGTGTTATTTATTGCCATATGCCAGCAATAGTGGGCAACATAACATTTGCATTCTCTTGGGAGGGTTTTCTAGTCAGGTCTAAAAGAGGTGAATGGTTCTGCTGAGTATTTTGCTTTATTGAGTAAGTATTTTGTAGAGGAAAACATCGCCTTCAAATTGCCCCAAATATTTGTTGCAAAAGAAAGAATGAAACTAATCATGATACTAAAGTTTTTTGAAGATAATTTGTTTTGATACATTAAATGGTTACCAAAAACTGTGAACTGATATAAATGATTATTGTATTACAAGTTGTGTTGTATCCATTTTCCTAAGCTATTCGGTTAGTATTCATATTCCCTTCTTTTCTCCATTTGATCTGCCCAAAAATTCTGTATGGTAGATTAGGCTGCGTGGGTTTGATGGCCCATTTGCTTAATGACTCTCCTACAGGTAGTCCTTGCTTAGCAACTGTTCATTTAATGATGGTTCAAAGTTATAACAGCCTCAGAAAAAGTGACTGGTACTCACACTTATGACTGTTGCAAACTATCGCACTACCTCCCATGGTCACATGATCGTGATTTGCAACGTTTTATATGACAACCGTAAAGCGAATCTCAGCGGTTGTTAAGTGAACCATGTGGATTAAGTGAATTCCGGCAAAGAAGTCCACTGGGGAAGCTGGATTCGTTTAACGACCGTGTGATTTATATTTTATATATTATATTTCAAATTTGTCACTTTCCATCTTACTGCAGTGTGACTCTGGGCTGTTTACAGTAAAAACAGAATAAACATGAATTAAAATAAAAATTAATTAAAATATGCTAAAAACAAACTTCCTGTATGATTTGCTTAATGACCATGTGATTTGCTTAATGACTGCAGTGATTTGCTTAATGGCCATAGCAAAAATAGTCATAAAATCAGGTCCGGTCACATGGTGACTCACTTAACGACCACATTTCTGGTCCCTGTTATTAAGTGAGGACTACCTGTACTTGAATAATGAATTAACCTTTGGTCCTGGTCCAACAACCTTGCACTTGTAAATTATGCATCTGTTGACAGCTTGTCTTTTATTGGTGGTCTCTGCAGTTACATCAGGTAGTGAGAACAGCTATACTGTTTGTGAAGGGGCCTTCCCTCCTATTATTAAGTAACTGAACTGTATTAAACCGGAAAAAAAATTATATGCTGACATTTTGGAATATTTTATAATATTCTATCACAATGAAATTAATGGGGGCCAGCTGATATTACTTAACTTACCAGTTGCCATCCCATTTCTTTAGAGTCCAGTATTTTAACACGTAGGTCAAAATCAGTCTGATAGCTTATACTGGCTAAATTCAAAAATGCCTATAGACACAAGTCCAGTAGCCAAATAACAGTGGAAGATAAAGAAGACTTAAACAAAAGGTTACCTGGGGGACCGTCTTACCTCCTTTACATTGACCTGTCCTACTTGGTCTGGCAGAGAAGGCATGTTGCAGATCCCGTTGGTGAGAGAATATTGACTGGTGGTCCTAGGAGGAGAGCCTTCTCTGCCATTGCCCCTGCCCTATGGAATACTCTCCCCCCAGAGGTGAGGCGGGCTCCTACCCTCCCAATTTTCCAGAGGGAATTAAAGACTTGGCTCTGCCAATTTGCGTGGGGCAAGGAAAGATACAACTGATCCTGGGGATGGCTGGCACCTTGAAGATGCTCCCTGAGTTTATTAACACCTAATTAACATCAGCCTCCTGGAAGTATTATATAGGAAGTTTGTTACTGTAGCATATTTTAATTAATTAATATTTACCTATTTTAATTATGTCTATTCTGTTTTTACTGTAAACTGCCCAGAGTCACTCTGCAGTGAGATGGGTGGTGACAAATTTGAAATATAAATAAATAAAATAAATGGAACAATTTTTATTTGCCATTAAAATAAAACTACTTTGGAATGAGCAGTATACAAGCTACATTATGTATAATTGTGTTGCAAATTGGGCTTCTCCATATTGTCATGCACACGTACTCTTATTTACTCCTTTTATTTGAAATTAAATAGAACATAATTTAAATTGTTTTAATCAGTAGTCATAAGTACTTCAAGGTCTTTTTAGAGGAAACCCCAACAGTGAGAAAAACCAGGAAAATTATTTCACAGCTGTACTTCCTCCTGAAATAGCTAATATTAAGCACTGTGTGGATAATTTATTTGCTTTCAACTACTAGTACTCTATAGTCTTGAACTGATTAAGATGTAAGGTACTTAACATTGGTTTACATTTTTATGTAAATAGCATTTTGTTAGGGAGGTGGTAGAATTAGTAATAAACCTTTTTAAAGGAACATATTTCCCCAGCATCCCACAGTTCTTTTTATTTTACTATAAACTATGATTTATCTGCTTTTATAATATAAGACTCTTCTGAATATTAGCATGAAGCTTCTATCCTCTTGTTCTGTTGAGTAACAATATATATTACGGCTACTGTAATAGTAAATATGGTATCTTATGCACAAGGATGAAGGCTGTTTAAACATACAAATTATGTATTTTAATCCTGCTCTGTCTCAAGGGCCCTAGACAGGTAGCTTGGGATATTGTGGCATATTAGTTAGGCTAGGTCAATCCTCATTGTTCGTGGATTCCATATTTGCAAGTTTGCCTACTCGCTAAAATTTATTTGTAACCCCAAAATCAATACTCATGGAGCTTTTGTGGTTATTTGCAGACATGTGCAGAAATGGGAAAAATGTACATTCCTAGCTGAGGTTGAACAAGGTGACACTCTGCCTTCTTGTTTCAACTCTTATAACGTAAACAAGTGTCCTTTTTGAGGTCTATTTAGTGCCACATTTTTCCATTTTTATGCTGAAATATATATTAAATAAGATGTCTTTAAACAAACACGCATAAAACAAAGTTATGTATTGATAAGTTGATGAAAATGATGTGACCAGAGGCTTGTGGGAACCTAACCCTATTTTTCCCCTAGGAGTAGTGGTTCAGTATTTTCTAATTCAGTGTTTGTGGCAACTTTATGGTACATAAGTACCGCGAATAATGAGAATTGACTGTATGAGCGAGCTGTTTGGAACAATAGATTACAGGACAAAAACAGTAGTCTTTCAGATATCGCTGAACTGTATCCCAGAAGCCTCAATCAAGGATTTGTAGTTCAACAGTGTGTGGAGAGCCGTGAGTTCTCCATCATTGCAGTAGGTCTCTTTTTAAGTTTTAAATTGTACCTGGATGATCATAGAAAGTCCAGGGAGTAATTACTAGCAACTAGTTCCATTAGAAGCCAAGCCATAATTTTTTTCAGTGTTTGGATTTTCCAAACAGCTAGCCTCAGAACTCTAAATAAAGATATTGGAGGTAATTGTTTCATCTAAAATAAATTTTTGCCTCTCACTTCTGGCTTGGAGCTAGAGGGGAATGGCCCAGAGCAGATTTGGCAATTTGCTTGCAATACCCTTTGTTGTCTCTGAGTCAGTAGAGGAGCATTTGTTGGAATTCCAAATGTCAGAAAGAAAAAGTTGATATACTGCTTCACCAGCTGGAATTTGGCATAGTTCTGTTACCTTTGATTACCTATGGGGCACAATGGGCAACGTTTGATTAATGGAAATATCAAAGATTAGGGTTTAATTTCAACTGGATTATTTACATTATTTTCCTTCATCAAAATAGTTAAGATAATATAGATTTTGTTAATAATATTAGAAACTTTTGGAAAATGAACCTCTTGTCTTCTAGTGGTAGTATCTTGCTAAGTGGTTTTTTTGGAGGTAAAAGGAGCAAAAACAGCTTGCTTTAAATGTCTGATATTTTATAGTATAAGTAGTTCCTTGTCTCACTCATGTTTGAGAGCTTTACCTTGGCACTCTTCCTGGAGAATGTTCTTGAGTTTTTGGCAGCAACAATGTATGTGTGAGGGCGTGGAATTACTACCCTTTTCCATTGCTCTGCTAGGTTGCTTTTTGCTATGTGGAGGCAGTGTTTCCCTTTGTTTGAAGCGCTTGTATAACAAGCCATCAGCTTTATGATAGTGTACCTAGGTTAAGTACTAATTATCTACTGTCTGGAGCCATTGTAACTAGCTCATATTTATCTTTGATCTTCTAAAAATATTGCCTTTTCAAACATAAGCAAGAAAATCTCTAGTTTTAGATTTAACTCTAGGTCTGTAGTAATTTTATCAAAATAAAAGATCCAGTCCCAAGGCATTCAATAAGAACAATCTTCAGTAGGAAAACTAAGATAATCAATCACTTTAAGGAGGTACTCACAGGAGTGGTATGTGTACCCATGCCCCCCAAAGCATCTTTGGCTATGGCTCTGAAGTACTGCGCATCTTACAGGGTTTTGAAAGAAGTATTTATTCCTTGCATTTGTGTCCTGTTTTTTCACCAGGAGCTCAAGGCTGTGTACATAGCATCCCCTTCACCAGTTTTCCCCACAAAAGCCTGTGAGGTAAGTTATGGCTGGCCCAGAGTTATCCAGTGAACTTCCATGGCTGGATGCAAACTTGAACCTACATCTTTCTGGTTCTAGTCAAACACCATAACCACTACACAACACTGGCTCTAAATATAATTTTTAAAATTAAAAGTTGATCACATTAATAGATGGAGTGCATCATAAAAATTGGTATTAAAGTTAACTCCTCATGCTTGCACAAGATATAAATCTCGCAGGTACCTAGGTCAGGAACATTTTGAATTACAGAAGGGTACAGAGTTTGTATGTGTCTTAAGTAATTCCAGTAATAATTAAGCACCATAATCCCTGTGTTAGTTATGGTGAAAAAGCTAGATTTAGGAAATTGTGGCTTTTATTTTGTTCTTTTCATTACTATCTTGTATAAGGCTTGGACAAGCTAGATTGTACATCTTTACAGTTTCCTCCACTGAATCAGGAGCAGATAATCCTTTGTAGTGTATTGGCTATTTAAGTCTCATTTGTGTCTCATCCCTCCCAGCACACATTTATTTATTTTTTTATTTAGAAAGTATTTGGTTGTCTATCTTAAGTAACTGGGCATAAATCGAACAGTACATTTTAAAATTTACTTTAATAAAAACCATTATAGGACAATGCAGGATACAGTTAAAATAATCAGAATGCTATAACTAAGATACTTCATAAAGAACTCAACACCAAACATGTATCTCAGGCTGCACTGTTATCTTAGCCTTAATGCTTGAAGGAAGAGCCATGTCATCATGGTTTTCCTGAAGGCCAACATATACGGTAATAGAAAATACTTCATATTTTATTTTAGATTTGTTTTACACAGCTTGATCATACTTAGACTGGATTACAACTAGCACATTTTGTGTAACTATATTTGGCTCACATTTAATGTTCCTTAATTCAGACTAGGTTTGATTGGAATATCTTTGCCTTTAATGTTTTCATAAATTTGTATAAGTTGCATATGTTGTGGAAAGCTGTTAATCTCTTTGAAGATAAACTATTTTTTACACTAATACTGATAGGCCCAATGGTAGCTGAATGTGTTATTTATAATAGGAAATCATATTGGTTATTGGGCTTTGAAAGGACCGATTCACTTGGGTCAGCTTTTGTTTAAGAGAAATAAAAGTGATTTGATTTTTGATCATATTTTTTATTTAAAATATATTTTAATATTATGTATTTTAATCTGTAAAATACACTTTATGAAAATACAATTACAGATAAATACGACTAGCATCCTAAGCCTATGTTAGTATGTTCCTTGGAACTTTCTAACCTGGCACAGAGAAACCACCAGAAGAAAAACTGAGGTGTGGAGGGCAGAAGAACTTCTACGAATCATGATTCAAATAAATGGGGCAGAGCAAGTGGGGTGGGAGGGCACCCACATCTTGAATTCTTCTCCTTGGAAGCAAGCAATCTCCCCTTATCCCAAACTGATTAGTGTACTTCTTCCCCTACTCTGTGTTTACTAAGCATTGCAAATCTGAAACTACAGCAATAAATGGTTACTACTCTTTTTTTGCAAAATTTAAAATTTCTAGTGGACTCTGGAAACAGAAACATTACCTAGATTCCTGGATTCTCTATCTCTTGACTGGCAACTTTAGTTGGAATTTTCTTGATGGAAACGCACTGGAGGTGGAAGGCTTTGTTATCCTTAGAAACAGAGTTGTAACTGGTACAAGGAGACACAGTTACAGCTGACTCAGAGAAACAAATGTGCTTATTTTAATATTTTTGTAGTAAATGTTAATGTTAATCATTGATGATGGCATAACTTAATAACAGGGGGGTTATACTTATAGGGTTATGGCCTTGGCCTAGTTTACAAGGCTGAATATAGTCTTCAATCTGAGAAAGATTGCCTACCCCTGAAAAACCCTGGGATATTGCTGAGTGTAGATTTAAGAAGATACTGATTTGTCTATAATACCAACCAAATAATTAAATTTAACTTCACATAAACTTAGTATCTCCACTTTCAGATTAGTCTCATCTTGTCCAGTAAGTGGGCAGGAAGAAAAGGGTTAATCCAGTTGATTGTGTGGGGCCAGAAATTAGACAGGTCAGTGCTTGCCTTGACAATCATAAGCTTCTAAATTGCTCCTGTCATTGCCCATGCTGGCAATGAATTCTCCCAGAACAAGTAACTTGAGTGTTGCCAACATCATATTTGAAACCATTTTTACATTCTTTCATAAGGGAGATTGCAAGCCAGTGGGGCAGACAATACATAATTAGAAACTCTACCCTGTCCTACCCACCGAATGTCATAATCTGATGCCCTCCAGCAGTACTGGCTAGAAGATTAGAAATTGAAGTCCAGTACTACTGGATAGAATCAGCTGTTTCCTGTCTGAATCATGGAGATAATAATTAGTTATTACAACAAGAATGATCTAATATCTGTACATATTAATTTTGGCCCCTCTGATTACCTGCAGGAAGCTTCACTGATAGTCTTTGGGGTTTAAGACTTTTGAACTGTAGCTGACCTGATCTCATAAATTGATCTGATTCCTTCTTTGCCCTTAATTTGGTGAGCTAAGTCTGAAAATGCTTTTGTGTGTGCAAAAAAAAAAAATAGTTTGATTCATTTGAAATACCTTTCGTTGTCTTTTTTACTATAAGAATTGCAGACAGTTGGTGTTGTCAGTAAAGGGTCATTTTTTGTGAGATGGGCAGTTTTATAAATGTGATAAATAAAAAAAAGAATGAATTATCAGAATGCCCTCAAAAATTTGGGAAAGCTTTTTTCGTTTTTCTCCAGGCTTTATATCACTGATTGCCTGCTTGTGGTTTGTTGAAATTTGTATGTTTATTATTTACTGCAGGTAATCCTCAAGTTACAATGGCAATTGGGACCGGAATTTCTGTCGCTAAGCAGTGGGTTGTAAAGCGCGATGTCACGTGACTGCGTTGCTTAGTGATGGCAATCCTTATAGTCCCAGTTGGCATTGATAACCGAATCCCACAGGTCCTTAGCTGAGCACCCACCCTGATCCAAACCATTCCTGGCTTGGTCTCTCCTAGCCCCGAGCCTTGGTAAGACTACCTCCTCTTTGACTACCCCCACCCACCTGTCTCCTCCCCATCTCGACTCTTTTGGCCGCCTTGCACTCTGCCACCTCTGCCAGCCTTGCCGCCCCCAGCTGACCTTCACCGTCTTCTTCCTGCCACTGCTGATGAGAAAAAAGGACCCTTGTAGCTGGGTCCTTCTTTTGTGAAAGAAAACTCTGGCTGATGCACAAATGGAGGCCCTGGCCAGGGCATGAGAGAAGCTCTGGCGGCATCAGCACGAAAGAAAGCATACGAAGAAGGCCCCGGCCAGTACACTACTGGCGCATGGTGCAGTGGATCTGGCAGCGGACAGGGCTGGATGGTGGGTGGCAGCTGGTGGCCAAAAGGTGGTCGTAATTACAGGTGGGCCTGAGTGGGCCTGAATTTTGTTCACGTGACTGTGGGCTCACTGCAACAGCCAGAACTTTGAGGACTGGTCATAAGTCCCTTTGTTCAGCACCGTTATAATTTCGAACAGTCACTGAACAAATGGAGATTAAGCTAGGACAATCTGTACCCTTTATAATTTATAACTAGTATTTCAGGAAACAGATATCAAATAATGTAGTCATAAAAAGGCAATGTCTGAGATATACTTCTTAAAAAAAATCTGTCACACTACTGACAGACCTTGTAGGCAAAGCAATCCACTGGCAAGATTTAAGCACAGCAACAAATCAGACTAGCAGTCAATTGTGGACATTTTTTAGATCAACCAAATGATTTGTCTCAATTTCTCCCTAGTTTGGATGTAAAGAGATGAGCTATGCAAAAGGAGGCTTAGAATCTTTGAGAATCTGAAGGAACATTGCAAGTTTGGCTTTGAAATCACCAGTATTGGAGTTTAATAGCTGAGTAAAAGGAAGATGGATTTCTCCTTTAAAAATGTTGCCCTTTTAGTGTTGATTGATAGTGATACATTTTCATTTTCTGAAGTTTCTTTGTGCTTAAAACTGTTTTGTATCTCCAAAGAATACCTGAAGTTTGTTATACAGGTATTATATATGATGAATAAAAACCTTCACTTCTTTTGCCATCAGTTTGTAGCTTTAATTTCTTAGAAAAGTCTCTTCTCAACATAATAGAACCAAATAGAGCTCCTGCAAGTGTGAGTATATATATGAGGCAGTTGGGAATGGTTAAGAGCTCAGAAAAATGAGAAGGGTGACACTGTGTAGATATTCCAGTTTTAAGGAGCAGAGAGGAAATGCTTTCAGGGATTATTGAATACCTCTTTAATTATTACATGTTGACTTGGGATGAATCTTGTGCAAGTCCCATTGCTGAAATTGCTGAAATCAGAATTATGCTCCAAAGATTTTTTTATCTAGGTGATCCTTTCTTTCAGATTTGTAGAATTTAAAAAAATGTACCTTTGATAGAGCTATACAATCGTAGAAATTACAGTGGGGCAAAAAAGTATTTAGTCAGCCACCAATT